CGAAGAGGGAGTGGGAGGAGAAGTGCGCGCTTACATTCCACCCCATGCATATTCCGATGAATTATTTCTCATCCCTGATCTCCAGAGCCCAGTAAACAGCCAGCAAACGCAGACAACAGAGATCAGATCATGGCCAAGGTCAGGGCCCAGGTTACACGGGCAAGACATCAAGAAAAATAAATCAACAGCCCAGGCACCAGGTAAATGTCTGTACACTGACACACAGGCCAACACATCACCCATCAATAATGTCCGACATCGCTGTGCGCAGTGTTTCACCCACAAAACACGGTCACTGCACTTCACAATATATTCTGTGAAGCACTTTCGAGACATCTCAACGACGTGAAAAGACGCCATATCAAAGGCAAGGATTATTATTATCATTAATCTTTGCATTTGGTATAGCTCCTTTCACGGCAGGAAGTCCCAAAAAGCCTCAAGGGATACACCGTAAAGTAATAATAAGAATAAGAATAATAATCCTTGCATTTGATATAGCGCTTTTCACGTCCGGAGGATGTCCCAAAGCGCTTCACAGAACACACCGTAAAGTGAATTGACTGTATATTTGTGGGCGAACGTGGCAGCCATTTGCGCACAGCAATGTCCCACAAACAGTCGTAGATTGAAAATGACCAATTTATTATTGTTTTTGGTTTTGGAGGGATTATTATTAGGCTCTGTGTGGAGTAAGGAAACTTGCCCAAGGTTTCGCCTTCTGCCTGGAATTGAGCTCAGGTCTCTCACTTGCAAAGCGAGTGCTCTAACCACTGAGCTACAGGACTCCACAAAGTGTAGTTACTGTGCAATTTGTGAGCAAGCACGGTAGTCCAACTACACACAGCAACATTATACAAACAGCCACAAAGTAAGTGACCAATTTTATCTGGGGGAGTGTTGGTCAGGACACCAGGAGACAGAGAGAAACTCCCTTCACTTTTTCCAATAATCCCACCCAACAGACAGGGGCCTCAGTTTAAACATCTCAACCAACACTGCGATCTCAAGGTCTGACACGTGTGGAAACCCATCACCGTGTTTAAGATTATCCAAACCGAGCTGAGAATTCCCTGCCTCCCACCTACACATGGAAACCCCAGAGATAGATTGTCGGAATGGAATGCGCTCTCTTTCCCTGGAAGGACGCATCCTGCTTATCTAATTCCGGAAAGTATTAGGCGCAGGTTATCAAGAGCCAAAGCTTGGGAATCCCAGAGTGTGTATTGAGGTACTTACTGCTGGAACCTAACCAGCTAAAAGCGCATATCTGGTCATTGATATCACTGTTTGGCAAGCCTTCCCACAGCTTGTCCAGCTAGGATCGCCCTACTCATTAGGGCTTTGGCTTGCAGGATTAGCAGAGAGCTGAGCGAGATGACTCCCTGCCCCTAGTGACCGGTCTGGCCTTCCGAGTCCTGCCGATGAGCCAGGCTGGCTCTGCTGGACTTGAGGGCTACTGCGTTCCCATGAGCTGGATTACAGAGACCGCCACAGAGGGTGACTCCCCAACCCCTTCCACCCTAACTAAGCAGGATCCTTCACGTCCACCTGAACAGGTACATATATGTGGGACGTCGGATTAACGTCCAGGTTCTCCTACAAAATACTGCGTATCCTGTGAGGTGGTTTGAGACGTCTCAACAAGTGATAAGACGGTGCATCAGATTTAGAGGATTATTATTACAGTATCTGAATGATCTGCTTCCGGCAATGCAACAACAACAACAACAACAAGATTCCATTTATAAAGCGCCTTTCACGTCAGAAGGACGTCCCAAGGCGCTGCACAGTTGGTTCATGACCCGAGCAGGGGGGAAATTGCGAGGGGAGGGGAGGGAGCGAGGAGGGGGGAAATGGTCAGGGTGAGGGGAGGGAAGGGAGGGAGCGAGAAGGGGGAAGAGAGTCGAGAGGGGAGCTGAAGGCTCGGTCAAAGAGAAAGGTTTTGAGACCAGCCTTGAAGGAGGAAAGGGAGGAAGCGGCGAAGGTACTGGGGGATAGAGTTCCAGAGCCTCGGGGCTGAGAGGCTGAAGGCCCGACCACCAATGGTAGGGCGGTTGGGGCAGGGGACGTGGAGCAGACCGTAGCCGGAGGAACGGAGGGTACGGGCAGGTAGGTAGGGGGATAGTAGGTCGGAGAGGTAGGAGGGAGCGAGGCCGTGAATGGCCTTGTAGGTGAGGATGAGGATCTTGAATTCGATCCTCTGGGGGATGGGGAGCCAGTGGAGGCGAGCGAGGGTGGGAGTGATGTGGTCCTGAAGCCTGGTGCGGGACAGTACACGAGCTGCAGAGTTCTGAATGACCTGCAGTGTGGAGGGAGGGCCGGGAAGGCCGGCGAGGAGAGAGGTCCCATAGTCCAGCCTTGAGGTGACAAAGGCGTGGACCAGGGTTTCAGCAGCCTCCCCAGGGTTGCGTTGGGGCGTCTGCCTGGACTATGAGCTCAAAGTCCCTGATGTTATAATTCGCTGCCAGTGGGTGGGAGTCAGCTCTCAACCCGGCTCTGTTCACTTGGCGTTTGTTTCTCACTCCTTCAACTCTCCGTCTCGGGAACTCAACGCTCTCGCTCACTCACTCTCAGGAGGCTGAGCGAACCCTGCCTGGCATCTCCCGTTCGGGCTCCAGGACGCTATATAAATGCAAGTTGTTGCTGTTGTTGTTCGGCTGCCGGAGTCCCAAAGTGTGCGCATGAACCCCACCCCCTCTTGTAGGATTTCCTTTCCGCCCCCACACGCATTTACTCGTTTACTCGCTCGCTCAAACCACAGCCTGGATCATTGCCAAAACTGAGTAACAATCTATTATAAACAGATGGGCAGTGGGAGGATAAAGAGGAGGTGGTTTAACCCCTTGTGTATGGACACAGAGAGAGAGAGAGAGAGAGATGCACACAGACAGACATGCAGACAATGATGGAGGGAGACACAGAAAGAGAGTCGGACATACACACATAGAGAAGAGCGATACACACAGTCACAAAGGCAGAGAGAGACAGACACACACACACACACACACACAGAAAGACAGAGGGAGAAGTGGTAGGGGCCATACCACCAGTCCCCACATGAAAGGGTTAATGGTTAGTTGCAGCTGTGGGGAAGATTAATGGATGGTGGGTGGGGCGGCCAATCTCGCAATAGATTCCTTCAAAATGTTCAAAGGGAATGGGGTAACTAATCTAATTTGTGCTCTCAAAGTGACTCAAATTGCTTCCCAGACACTCAGTGCAATGTGTAGTGACTGTGGATTTCGATAGCAGTGACAGTGGCCAATTTGCATAACTTATTTGGAATGGGGGTGGGTGGGGGGGTGGTGGTGGGGGGGGGGTGATCGTTGGCCAGGGCATCAGGAGAAGGTCTCTTCTCTTTTCCAACAATGTCACGGAGCTTGAAACAGGGCACAGATGGAGCCTTGATTTAAGGTCTCATCCAAAGGACACCACCTCCGACAATGCAGCCCTCCCACCCCTCCCCAGCATTGCATTCGAATGTCAGACCAGACCGAGGGATCAAATTCCCCAAAGTGTGTGTGTCTATGTGTGTGTGGGGGGGGGGGTGGGGTGGGGGTTTGAAGCTGAAGCTCGTTTGGAGTTGCTTCAAACTCTACTCGTGTTTGTGGGGGATGGGGAGTGGTGGGGGGGGAAGTGGAAGTAGTTCTACTCTAACGCTCTTAAACAGCGTGAGTCAGGGTATTAAAGATTACACCGTGAGCACAAGACCATGAAACATGCTGAGCAATGACGCTGTTACACTAGATACAGGAGAGGGGTCAGGGGGAGCTGGGGGGAGCGTTAGGAGAGGGGGCAGAGAGAGGGGGCAGTGGGGACAGAGAGTGGCGTGGGGGCTAAGAAAGAGAGAAGAAATTAGTGCGCGAGTCACACAGAGTGAGTGAGACACACACAGAGATGGACAGAGTGAGAATGGGAGACGGACGCAGTGTGAAAGTGAGTGATTGACACACAGCGACTGAATGAGAGAGTGACTGAGTGAGAGATGCACAGAGACTGAATGAGAGAAAAGGTAACTGGCTTCCATTACATCGAGGCTCGACTATTCAAACTCATTGCTTGTCGGCCTCCCCGACTCCTCCCTCCACAGGCTGCGGATCATCCAGAACTCTGCAGCCCGTGTCCTCTCCCGCACCGGACTCCGTGACCCTATCAGCCCCATCCTCGCCCGACTCCACTGGCTTCCCATCACAACGAGGATACAGTTCAAGATCCTGGTCCTCACCTTCGAAGCCTTCCATGGTCTTGCTCCCCCCACCTCTGTGACCTCTTAACATCCTGCTCGCTCCCTCCACGCAGCGGGCTTCACGTTCCCCACCTCACTCGTCCCATTATTGGCGGGCGGGCCATCTTCCACTCTGCCCCCACTCTCTGAAACTCCATCGCGCAGTCCCAACCCCTCGCCCCCTCCCTTGCCTCCTTCAAGACCCATCTCAAAACCCTCCTCTTCGACCGTGCTTTCAATCATCCTGCTTCACCTCCGCCCTCCGCTCTCCGCGATCCCGACCCCCAGCTTGGGTCCAAAACACTGACTGTCCAGCGCTTTGGGATGTCCTCCTGACGTGAAAGGCTCCAGACAAATGTAATTTTGTTGTTGAATGAAGCAAACACACACAGAATGAATGGGAGAGAGGGAGAGTGAGAATCACACATAGACTGAAAAAGAGAGTGAGTGAGTAGGAGGGTGAGTGACTGACAGAGTGAATGACTGACAGAGTGAGTGACTGACTGACAGAGTGAGTGAGTGACTGACTGACTGACTGACAGAGAGGGTGACTGACCGACAGAGCGGGAGGGCGACCGACAAGAGCGGGCGGGCGACCGACAGAGCGGGCGGGCGACCGACAGAGCGGGCGGGTGCGACCGACAGAGCGGGCGGGCGACCGACAAGAGCGGGCGGGCGACCGACAAGAGCGGGCGGGCGACCGACAGAGCGGGCGGGTGCGACCGACAGAGCGGGCGGGCGACCGACAAGAGCGGGCGGGTTAGTGACTGACCTCTTGGATCTCCCTCTCAATGACCGCGGCTCTCTGGACGATCGGTCCCCGCACTGCGTATTCCACCTTCTTGATGTTGGGGTTCATCGTTTCCAAGACGAGGATTTTGCGGTTTGTGGCGGCCGCCGACCTCGGGAACCCGTTCTCAGCCATACTCTTAGTGCCGGCACTGAGCCTGCGGAGGAGCAGACCGCAGTGAGCCGGTGCGGAAAGGGTGGCAGCTCTGCACAGCATGATCAGGTGTGAGGGTGGGACCAGGGCTGACCTTCATACACTGCTTGACACCTGGACACTGCGCCCGACACACACACACACACACACACAACCACACACACACACACACACACGCGTGCAGCCTGACTGCCCAACACACACGGTCACGGGATCCGGTCACTAACGATTCTCTGCTCTTCACTCAGACGCAATCAGAGAAACTGAAAGTCAACTTCCAAATCAGGACTTTGCTCGATTTCGCCACAACCCGCACGAGAGTGGGGGGGGGGAGGGGAGGGGGAGGGGAGCAGATCCGAGGGAGGGGGAGAGCGCAGCACACCTGGGCATTAGGAGGAAGGGGGAGCGGAGAGATGGGAGAGAGAGAGAAAGAGGGAGAAAGAAAGAGGTGGACAGAGAGAGGCGGATGGGGAGCGTGGGGTGTGCGCGATCAGATGGAGCATTCTGTGTTCCTGATGGTACTGATTGCACCAAAGTTTAGACTTTTAAATAAGGTTTCCACTCTGTCTTCCTCTTAAAGGGGCTGCATTTTCCCTTCAGGGCCGTTAAAGAGGTTTGCAGGTGGACCCCACTCCCTCAGACACGCAACCCCACCCCACCCCCCCCCCCCGCCCCCGTAAGACTCCACAAGGGTGCATTTCAAAACGGTTTCACGCGAACTCACCGTCGCAGTAAATCACGTAAGCAATGTGACCACTGGTGCACACCGCACCGGGAGGTGAGCACGAGATTAATCTGGGGGATTGCGAGTCGGAAACTTGGGAGACAATCCCTTCTACAGTCACCTTTTGGAACTCCATCCCACAGTCCCTTCTCCTCGCCCCCTCCCTTGCCCCCTCCAAGGCCCATCTCTTCGACCACGCCTTTAGTCGCCCTCCTACCCCCACCCTGTCTGTCCCACAGCAGCCCCTCCTAACCGTAAACCCCCAGCCCGTCCTCAAATCCTTAACTGTCCAGCATCTTCGGAGGTCCTTCCGATATGAAAGGCGCAACACAAATATAATTTGTTCTTGTTGTCACTACACTTTACAGTGAACTACTCGTATTTGAATAGAAGGGAGTGTCTTCTTCCAGATTGCTATCAACGTGAAGCTATGTGGTTTATGTTTGTTAGACACCAGCAGTTACCCCAACGCACACTCTGGGGTCCCCAAGCCTCGGCTCTCGCCAACCTGCGCCCTAATACTTTCCGGAATTACGTAAACAGGATGTGTCCCTCCAGGGAGGGAGAGCGCATTCCATTCCAGGGATCTATCTCTGGGATTTCCATGTGTAGGTGGAAGGCCGGGAATTCTCAGTTGGGTTTGGATACTCTTAAGCAACGGTGATGGGTTTCCCCGTTTATCAGACACCCGGCTGACCAAAAACAAAAGCTCTGTGTTGTCCTGACAACACATTCCCACTGGAGAAACTATTTCCACTGGGTTGGTAACCCGAGGACAAGAATTTAAAATAGTTCTTAAAAGAAACAGAGGGGAGGTGAGGAGAAATCGTTTAACACAGCGAGTTGTTTGGAGTGGAGTCCTGTAGCTCAGTGGTTAGAGCACTCGCTTTGCAAGCGAGAGACCTGAGTTCAATTCCAGGCAGAAGGCGAAACCTTGGGCAAGTTTCCTTACACCACACAGAGCCTAATAATAATCCCTCCAAACCAAAAACAATAATTAAATTGGTCATTTTCAATCTACGACTGTTTGTGGGACATTGCTGTGCACAATTGGCTGCCGCGTTCGCCCACAAATATACAGTCAATTCACTTTACAGTGTGTTCTGTGAAGCGCTTTGGGACGTCCTCCCGACGTGAAAAGCGCTATATCAAATGCAAGGATTATTATTATTATTATTATTATTATTATTGTTTGGATCTGGAATGCATTGCCTGAAAGGGTGGTGGAAGCCGACTCGATAACAACTTCGAAGAGAGAAGTAGATAAATATCTGGGGAGGACAAGTTTGTAGGGCTATGGGGAGAGAGCGGGAGAGTAGGATTGAATTGGATAGCTCTTTTCAAAGAGCCGGCACGGACATGATGGGCCGAATGGCCTCCTTCTGTGGTGTATAATTCTATGATTCTATGACACACAGATGGGCGTTTGGTGGGGCCACAGGCTACATTTCAAAGAGTAATGCTTCGGTCAAACCAGTTTGGGTCACCCAGTGAAAGGGGTGGATGTAGTTTCAAAAATGGAATGTATGAAATGAAAGGTTATAGCAGTGGTGGTCAACCTCTTGGGTTGGCCAAAAACATAAAAATGTTTCTTGATTGAATATTTCTTCTTAACGACGTGATAAGGCACTATATCAAATGCAAGTATTATTATTATTAAAATGTCTTTCACAGTGACGCACTCTCGTCTTTGAGGCAGAAGGACGTGGGTTCGAGCCCCAGGTCGGGATTACATATTCCCACATTAGAATTACATAGACTAAACCGACACTCCAATGCAGAGCTCATATCTTTTAGATAAGATATTAAGCCGGAGACCATATAGCTTCACGTTGATAGCAATCTGGAAGGTTGTTGACCAGAACACCAGAAGACACTCCCTTCTATTCAAATACGAGTAGTTTACTGTGTGCCTGTTCAGGTAGATGTTAAAGATCCCATGACCCTATTTGAAAAGAGTTTCTCCCGGTGTCCTGGTCAAAAAATACCTCCCAGCTGAAACTGATCACTCACTCAATTGGCTGGTTGTGGGATATTGCTCTGTGCAAGCTGTCTGCCATGTTTGTCCACATAATCCACCTCGATTGTGAGCGCAAAGTCTCGACGCAGGTAGTCTGACACATGACTCAGTTTAGTAAAGGTTATTGTTCAAAGACACGAGGGACTAAACTAATTACTCCCAATAAAGAGACACTAATCAAGATAACAACAAAAACAAATTACATTTGTATAAACAACACCACCATCCACTTGCATAGCGCCCTCCACACAGGGCAGCGTCTCAGAGCGCTTAACAGTGGCGGAGCCTGACTCCGAGCCGGGGGGTGGGAAGGTGGCCGTGAGCACGGTCGAAGAGGAAAGTTTTCAGGTGGGACATGAAAGAGGGGAGGGGGCAAGGCGGAGGGATTGAGGGAGAGTGTTCCAGAGTTTTGGGGCACAGTGGCTGAAAGCACGACTTCCAATGGTGGGGCACAGGGTACGAGGGATGATCAGGAGGCCGGTGCCAGTCGAGGCGGAGGCGCTCGATGGTGGACTGGGGAGCGAGGAGGTTGGAGAGGTAGGGAGGTGTCAGGGAGTGAATGTTACAGCGCCTTTCACGTCGAGAGGACTTCCCAAGACGCTGATCAGTCAGGGATCTGGACCCAAGCTGGGATTTGGGATCAGGAGAGGTGGAGGGCAGGGAGGGTGGGGATAGGAGGGTGACCGAAGGCATGGTCAGAGAAGGGCTGACAATCCCCCAGATAAAACTGGAACTCACTCCACGGCTCCACGCCTGTGGGACGCTGCTGTGCGCAAATCGGCTGCCGCGTTTCGCCCACAAAACACAGTCAATCGAATTCACAATATATCCCGCGAAGCGCTTTGAGACGCCTCGGCCGCGCGATAAGGCGCCGCATCAAAATGCAAGGACTGGTCACTCTAAATCTATGCAATCTTTGCTATTTCTATGATTGTGGCGACCGACCGCCAGCGCTGCCTTACAGACTTGGTTTACATCACAAACAGCTGGTGTCTAAACGCCTGTGTTAACCCCCTTTCCGCCCATTCAGCATCAGGGACGACAGTGCGCATCTTATTTATGTAATAATCCATGTAATTCCTCGGGCGTCCCTCCTTTTTCCCAAACAATGACATTCTCAAATGCAATAAAAACCACGAAACCCATCGGACCGGTTGATTCTTTTTTTGGGGGGAAAACCAGGCGTACAAGGCTGGCAAGTAAGGCGAGGACTTCTAACCACTAATCGACAGGTCTCCACTCCCTCTGACACAAGGAAGTGGGAGCGGACTGAAGAGGTAGAGTCCCTCGGAGAGGAGTGTTGGCAAACGGGATTGGGCAAGAGGATATGTGAGAGAGAGTCCTGTCGCTCAGCGGTTAGAGCACTCGCTTTACAAGCGAGACACCCGGTTCAATTCCAGGCAGAGGGCGAAACCTCGGGCAAGTTTCCTTACTCCACTCAGAGCCTAATAATAATCCCTCCAAAAACCCAAAACAATAATAAATTGGTCATTTTCAACCCACGACTGTTTGTGGGACGTCGCTGTGCGCCATCGGCTGCCGCGTTCGCCCACAAATATACAGTCAATTCACTTTACAGTGTGTTCTGCGAAGCGCTTTGGGACGTCGAGAAGACGTGAAAAGCGCTATATCAAATGCAACGATTATTATTATTATTATTATTATTAGAGAGGGAGAGAGGAAGGAGGGAAAGACAGATAGAAAGCAGAGAAAGAGACATGTGAGAGATAGACAGAAAATAAGAGTCAGAAAAGGATGAGAGATAGAGACAGAAGAGAGTGAGAGAGAGAGAGAGAGAGGGAGAGAGGGGAGAGGGAGAAGGGGGAAAATAAAGACTGAAAAGAAAGATAGAACATAAGAGTCAGAAAAGGATGAGAGAGAGAGACAGAAGAGAGTGAGACAGACAGACAGACAGAAAGAGAGAGAGAGAGAGAGAGAGAGGGGAAGAAAATAAAGAGACAGAAAAGACTGGAAAAAGAGTGAGAGACGGGGAATAAAGAGAGAAAACGAGAAGAGGTGAGAGTGAGTGAGTGAGTGAGTGAGTGAGAGAGAGAGAGAGAGAGAGAGAGAGACAGAAAAGAATAAGAGGAGAGACAGAAAGAGATAGAGGAGAGAAAGAAAGTGTGTGAGTGTGAAGGAGAGAAGCAGCAGCGCAGTGACTGACCTGTTGGAGGTGAGTGAGGGAGTGATGGAGGGAGTGAGGGAGGAGGGAGGGAGGGAGGAGGGAGTTACACTTATAGCTGCGGTTCTGGTGCTGTTCAGTGCGTTGCGGAAACTCCGCAAACCTCAGCCCTGAGGCGGCGGCGCCTTTCACCCAATACCCCGTCCGGAGCCGCTACAGCAGTGCCGCGGCGTCACAATCACTCCTCACTGCCCCTCCCTCACTCCTCACTGCCCCTCCCTCACTCCCTCACTGCCCCTCACTCCTCACTCCTCACTGCCCCTCCCTCACTCCTCACTGCCCCTCCCTCACTCCCTCACTCCGCACTCCCCTCCCTCACTCCCTCACTCCGCACTGCCCCTCCCTCACTCCTCACTCCTCACTGCCCCTCCCTCACTCCTCACTGCCCTCCCTCACTCCCTCACTCCGCACTGCCCTCCTCACTCCCTCACTCCTCACTGCCCCTCCCTCACTCCTCACTGCCCCTCCCTCACTCCTCACTGCCCCTCCCTCACTCCCTCACTCCGCACTGCCCCTCCCTCACTCCCTCACTCCGCACTGCCCCTCCCTCACTCCCTCACTCCTCACTGCCCCTCCTCACTCCTCACTGCCCCTCCCTCACTCCCTCACTCCGCACTGCCCCTCCCTCACTCCTCACTCCTCACTGCCCTCCCTCACTCCCTCACTCCTCACTGCCCCTCCCTCACTCCCTCACTCCGCACTGCCCCTCCCTCACTCCTCACTCCGCACTGCCCCTCCCTCACTCCTCACTCCGCACTGCCCCTCCCTCACTCCTCACTCCGCACTGCCCCTCCCTCACTCCTCACTGCCCCTCCCTCACTCCTCACTCCGCACTGCCCCTCCCTCACTCCTCACTGCCCTCCCTCACTCCCTCACTCCTCACTGCCCCTCCCTCACTCCCTCACTCCCACTGCCCCTCCCTCACTCCTCACTGCCCCTCCTCACTCCTCACTCCGCACTGCCCCTCCCTCACTCCTCACTCCGCACTGCCCCTCCCTCACTCCGCACTGCCCCTCCCTCACTCCTCACTCCGCACTGCCCCTCCCTCCCTCCTCACTCCTCACTGCCCCTCCCTCACTCCTCACTCCACACTGCCCCTCCCTCCCTCCTCACTCCGCACTGCCCCTCCCTCACTCCTCACTCCGCACTGCCCCTCCCTCACTCCCTCACTCCTCACTGCCCCTCCCTCACTCCTCACTCCGCACTGCCCCTCCCTCCCTCACTCCCTCACTGCCCCTCCCTCACTCCTCACTCCTCACTGCCCCTCCCTCACTCCTCACTCCGCACTGCCCCTCCCTCACTCCGCACTGCCCCTCCCTCACTCCTCACTCCGCACTGCCCCTCTCTCACTCCTCACTGCCCTCCCTCACTCCGCACTGCCCTCTCTCACTCCGCACTGCCCTCCCTCACTCCCTCACTCCGCACTGCCCCTCCCTCACTCCCTCACTGCCCCTCCCTCACTCCCTCACTCCGCACTGCCCCTCCCTCACTCCTCACTCCCACTGCCCCTCCCTCACTCCTCACTCCCTCCCTCCCTCCCTCACTCCCTCACTCACTCCCTCACTCCCCTCCCTCACTCCCTCCACTCCCTCACTCCTCCCTCACTCCCTCACTCCCTCCCTCACTCCCTCACTCCCTCCCTCACTCCCTCACTCCTCACTGCCCCTCCCTCACTCCTCACTCCGCACTGCCCCTCCCTCACTCCTCACTGCCCCTCCCTCACTCCCTCGCTCCCTCACTGCCCCTCCCTCACTCCTCACTCCGCACTGCCCCTCCCTCACTCCCTCACTCCGCACTGCCCCTCCTCCCTCACTCCCTCACTGCCCCTCCTCACTCCGCACTGCCCCTCCCTCACTCCGCACTGCCCCTCCCTCACTCCCTCACTCCTCACTGCCCTCCCTCACTCCCTCACTGCCCCTCCCTCACTCCGCACTGCCCCTCCCTCACTCCGCACTGCCCCTCCCTCACTCCCTCACTCCTCACTGCCCCTCCCTCACTCCCTCACTGCCCCTCCCTCACTCCGCACTGCCCCTCCCTCACTCCCTCACTCCTCACTGCCCCTCCCTCACTCCTCACTGCCCCTCCCTCACTCCTCACTGCCCCTCCCTCACTCCTCACTGCCCCTCCCTCCCTCACTGCCCCTCCCTCACTCACTCCGCACTGCCCCTCCCTCCCTCACTCCGCACTGCCCCTCCCTCCCTCACTCCGCACTGCCCCTCCCTCCCTCACTCCGCACTGCCCCTCCCTCACTCCACACTGCCCCTCCCTCACTCACTCCGCACTGCCCCTCCCTCACTCCGCACTGCCCCTCCCTCACTGCCCCTCCCTCACTCCTCACTGCCCTCCCTCCCTCACTCCGCACTGCCCTCCCTCCCTCACTCCGCACTGCCCCTCCCTCCCTCACTCCGCACTGCCCCTCCCTCACTCCGCACTGCCCCTCCCTCACTCCGCACTGCCCCTCCCTCACTCCGCACTGCCCCTCCCTCACTCCGCACTGCCCCTCCCTCCCTCACTCCTCACTGCCCCTCCCTCCCTCACTCCGCACTGCCCCTCCCTCACTCCGCACTGCCTCTCCCTCACTCCGCACTCCCCCTCCCTCACTCCGCACTGCCCCTCCCTCACTCCGCACTGCCCTCCCTCACTCCGCACTGCCCCTCCCTCACTCCTCACTGCCCCTCCCTCACTCCTCACTGCCCCTCCCTCCCTCACTCCGCACTGCCCCTCCCTCACTCCGCACTGCCCTCCCTCACTTCGCACTGCCCCTCTCTCCCTCACTCCGCACTGCCCCTCCCTCACTCCGCACTGCCCCTCCCTCACTCCGCACTGCCCCTCCCTCACTCCGCACTGCCCTCCCTCCCTCCGCACTGCCCTCCCTCCCTCCGCACTGCCCTCCCTCCCTCACTCCGCACTGCCCCTCCCTCACTTCGCACTGCCCCTCCCTCACTCCTCACTGCCCCTCCCTCCCTCACTCCGCACTGCCCCTCCCTCACTCCGCACTGCCCCTCCCTCACTCCGCACTGCCCCTCCCTCACTCCGCACTGCCCCTCCCTCACTCCGCACTGCCCCTCCCTCACTCCGCACTGCCCCTCCCTCACTCCTCACTGCCCCTCCTCACTCCTCACTGCCCCTCCCTCACTCCTCACTGCCCCTCCCTCACTCCGCACTCCCTCCCTCACTCCGCACTCCCTCCCTCACTCCGCACTCCCTCAGCCCTCACTCCGCACTCACTCCTCACTCACTCCTCACTGCCCCTCCCTCACTCCGCACTGCCCCTCCCTCACTCCTCACTGCCCCTCCCTCACTCCGCACTGCCCCTCGCTCACTCCGCACTGCCCTCCCTCACTCCACACTGCCCCTCCCTCACTCCGCACTGCCCTCCCTTACTCCGCACTGCCCTCCCTCGCTCCTCACTGCCCCTCCCTCACTCCTCACTGCCCCTCCCTCACTCCTCACTGCCCCTCCCTCACTCCTCACTGCCCGTCCCTCACTCCTCACTGCCCCTCCCTCACTCCGCACTCACTCACTCCTCACTCCGCACTGCCCCTCCCTCACTCCTCACTGCCCCTCCCTCACTCCTCACTGCCCCTCCCTCACTCCCGCTGCCCTCCTCACTCCTCACTGCCCCTCCCTCACTCCGCACTCACTCACTCCTCACTCCGCACTGCCCTTCCCTCACTCCGCACTGCCGCTCCCTCACTCCTCACTGCCCCTCCCTCACTCCGCACTCACTCACTCCTCACTGCCCCTCCCTCACTCCACACTCACTCACTCCTCACTCCGCACTGCCCCTCCCTCACTCCGCACTGCCCCTCCCTCACCCTCACTGCCCTCCCTCACTCCGCACTGCCCCTCCCTCCCTCCGCACTGCCCCTCCCTCACTCCGCACTGCCCCTCCCTCACTCCTCACTCCGCACTGCCCCTCCCTCACTCCCTCCGCACTGCCCCTCCCTCCCTCCCTCACTCCGCACTGCCCTCCCTCCTCCTCACTCCGCACTGCCCCTCCCTCACTCCCTCACTGCCCCTCCCTCACTCCGCACTGCCCCTCCCTCCCTCCCTCCCTCCCTCACTCCGCACTGCCCCTCCCTCACTGCCCCTCCCTCACTCCGCACTGCCCTCCCTCACTCCTCACTGCCCCTCCCTCACTCCTCACTGCCCCTCCCTCACTCCGCACTGCCTCTCCCTCACTCCGCACTGCCCCTCCCTCACTCCGCACTGCCCCTCCCTCACTCCGCACTGCCCCTCACTCACTCCTCATTGCCCCTCCCTCACTCCTCACTCCCTCACTCCTCACTCACTCACTCCTCACTGCCCCTCCCTCACTCCTCATTCAGTCACTCACTCAATCACTCACTCCCTCACTCCTCACTGCCCCTCACTCCTCACTCACTCCGCACTCACTCAATCACTCACTCCCTCACTCCTCACTCACTCCACACTCACTCACTCACTCCTCCCTCACTCCGCACTCACTTCCTCACTCACTCAATCACTCACTCCTCACTCACTCACTCCTCACTGTCCCTCCCTCACTCCTCACTCACTCCTCACTCACTCCTCACTCACTCCCTCACTCACTCAATCACTCACTAACTCACTCCCTCACTCACTAGCTCACTCCCTCACTCCTCACTCACTCCTCATTGCCCCTCCCTCACTCCTCACTCACTCCCTCACTCCTCATTTCCCCTCCCTCACTCCTCACTCACTCCTCCCTCACTCCCTCACTCCTCACTCAATCACTCACTCCCTCACTCAACCACTCACTCACTCCCTCTTCACTCACTCCCTCACTCCTCACTCACTCTCTCACTCCTCACTCACTCCTCACTCACTCTCTCACTCCTCACTCAATGACTCACTCCCTTCTCACTCATTCCCTCACTCCTCACTCCCTCCCTCCCTCAATCACTCACTAACTCACTCCCTCACTCTTCACTCACTCCCTTACTCAATCACTCACTAACTCACTCCCTCACTCCTCACTCCCTCACTCCCCAGCCACTCATTCACTCACTCACTCCCTCCCCAGCCACTCACTCACTCACTCCCTCACTCCCCAGCCACTCACTCACTCCCTCCCCAGCCACTCACTCACTCTCTCCCCACCCTCCCTCACTCACTCACTCACTCACTCACTCTCCAGCCACTCACTCGCTCATTCACTCACTCCCCACCCTCCTTCACTCCCTCTCTCCCTCCCCAGCCACTCACTCACTCCCTCCCTCACTCCCTCCCCAGCCACTCCCTCTCTCACTCCCTCCCCAGCCACTCACTCCCTCCCTCACTCCCTCCCCAGCCACTCACTCCCTCCCCAGCCACTCACTCCCTCCCCAGCCACTCACTCACGCCCTCACTCACTCCCTCCCCAGTCATTCACTCAGCCCCTCCCCAGCCACTCACTCACTCCCCAGCCACTCACTCACTCGCTCCCTCCCCAGCCACTCACTCACTCCCCAGCCACTCACTCACACCCTCCCCAGCCACTCACTCACTCACTCACTCCCTCCCCAGCCACTCACTCACTCACTCCCTCCCCACCCTCCCTCACTCACTCACTCACTCTCCAGCCACTCGCTCACTCACTCACTCCCCACCCTCCTTCACTCACTCCCTCCCTCCCCAGCCACTAACTCACTCACTCCCTCCCCATCCACTCACTCCCTCCCCAGCCACTCACTCCCTTTCCAGCCACTCACTCCCTCCATCCCCAGCCACTCAGTCCCTCCCTCCCCAGCCACTCACTCCCTTTCCAGCCACTAACTCACTCACTCCCTCCCCAGCCACTCACTCCCTTTCCAGCCACTCACTCCCTCCATCCCCAGTCACTCAGTCCCTCCCTCCCCAGCCACTCACTCCCTTTCCAGCCACTAACTTACTCACTCCCTTCCCAGCCACTCACTCACTTTCCAGCTGCTCACTCCCTCCCTCCCCAGCCACTCACTCCCTCCCTCCCCAGCCACTCACTCCCTCCCTCCCCAGCCACTCCCTCCCTCCCTCCCTCACTCACTCCCTCACTCCCCAGCCACTCACTCCCCAGCCACTCCCTCCCTCACACCCTCACTCACTCACTCCCCAGCCACTCACTCACTCCCCAGCCACTCCCTCCATCCCTCCCTCCCCAGCCAATCACTCACTCCCCAGCCACTCCCTCCCTCTCTCCCCAGCCACTCACTCACTCCCTCCGCACCCTCACTCTCCAGACACTCACTGAGCACAGACCTGGGGGAACAGGACAGCACCGAGGGACATAAAGAAGAAGAAGAAGAAGGAGAAGAAGAAGAAGAAGAATAGTAATAATAATAATAATAATAGTAATCATAATAATCCTTGCATTTGATACAGCGCCTCATCACGTCTTCGAGACGGCTCAAAGCGCGTGACAGGATATACTCTAGAATGAAGTGACTGTATATTTGTGGGCGAAACACGGCAGCCGAGAATTGCTATTTCGCTTTGGAGGAATTATTACCCCCAGAAAAGGGATCCATCCGCCAATCGACTAACAATCCTACTTAATGCTAAGTAAACAAGAGGCGGGTGGAATAAGGAAACTTGCCTCAGGTTTCACCTGCCGGGAATCGAACCCGGGTCCTCTTGCTTGCGAGATGAGTGTTATAACCACCTCTACGCTACAGGACTCCCAAGAGAGAAGAGCCCTGGGGGAGAAGGGCAACAACAACAACAACAACAACAACAAATTGCATATACACAGCAACTTTCCCGTCGGGAGGATACTCCCAATGGGCTGGATAGTTGAGAGTTCGCACCTGAGCTGGGGGTGGGATTCAACGTGGGGGGGTTGGGGGGGGGGAGGGGAATAAAGTGGGGAGGGGGAGAAATGAGCAAAGGCCGCGCCTGAAGATCTTCCTATTCAACCGGGCCTACGGTCAACCTCCTCCTAAACCCTTGGCTCCGAGTCGTGCTCCGCCACTGTCGAGCGCCCTGGGATGTTACCCTGCGTGAGGGGCGTTATATAAACGCAAGTTGTTGTTATCAATGCCACATAATCGCTTTCCCGGCGTAATAACCCCTTCAAAAATAAAGAAGTCAACAATCAAAAAAATCATTTGGTCGCTCGATCCACGACTGTTTGTGGGACGCTGTTGTCCGCAATTGGCTGCCGGGTTTCGCCCACAAATATACAGTCAATTCACTTTACAATATATTCTGTGAAGCGCTTTGGGACGTCCTCCCGACGTGATAACTCGCTATACGTAATGCAAGGATTATTATTAGGATTATTATGATTATTATTATTATTATAAAGCTACCTGGTTTTAGCTGGTTAGACTCCGACAGATACCCCAACGCACACTCTGGGATTTCCATGTGTAGGTGGGAGGTATGGAATTCTCAGTTTGGTTTGGAGACTCTTAAGCACAGTGATGGGTTTCCGCACGTGTCAGACGTCCAGCTGACGCTGAGCACCGGAGCTGAGAGGAGGCAACACTCGCTCCCCGTAATGCAAGGAACATTCCGGAATACCTTCGTAATGATGTAGCCTGTCTCCACACGAGGTTCCTGTTCCCTTCTCCGCCTGGCAGTGTCGGAGCTGTCAGCTCGGCCCTCCGTCCTTGTGGGGGCTTTGAGCTCACAGTCTAGGCTGACACTCTAGCGCAGTGCTGGGAGAGCACCGCATTGTCAGAGATGCCGTGCCTTGGATGAGCCATCAAAGTGAGTCCCTTGTCAGTCCAGGCGGACGTTAAAGATCCCAATTGGGAAAAGAGAAGGGAGTTTCTCCCAGTGTCCTGGCCCAATGCTCCCACTGCTTCCCCACCTCCTCAGCTCTTGATGCGGGCTCTTGCTATGCCCCAAATCTCCCCGTAGAAACAATCAATACTTTGCGGAGCACCAGCTGGGGTGATGGTCAGAGTTACACTGACCTTTGTGTCTGTGCCAGGAGTTGGTCACGAGTGGAGCGGGGTTAATAATACCCAGAGCTCGCTGGCCTGACATGTACTGAATGTGGAGTGTAGCTTACTCCTGGCCTGACTCCAACCCTCGCTTGCTCCCTCGCTCCTTCGCTCGCATCCAGTGACGACACAGCGAGGCTCGGTCTCACATCTAATAGTAATAAGATCTTATCTAACAGCCTGCAGGTAAAAATAAATGTCAGAGACATTCCTAAGATATAATTGCTAAGAAATGAGCTGTGGGGAGGCCACTTTGGTGTAATAATAATTTGGTCACTCAATCCACGACTGCTTGTGGGGCCCCACTGTGTGCAATTGGCTGCCCCATTTGGCCCACAAAATACACAGTCACTACACTTTACAATATACTGGGGCAAGGAGATGGACACCAGTGGGGAGGAGGTCAGAAGGAGACAGATGAGGCGATTATTCTGCTCCGCACAACGCTGGGACGTGTAAATGATTCGTTTGAATTTGGGCGTGAATCTAATAGAATAATAATAATTCTTGCGTTTGATATAGCACTTTTGAGACGTCTCAAAGCGCTTCACGGGAGATGCTGTAAAGCGATTTGACTGTGCATGCTGTGGGTGACACGAGGCAGCCATTTGCACACAGCAGTGTGCCACAAACAGTCGGGGATGGAGTGACCAATTTATTATCATTATTTTTTGAGGGATTGTTATCCCCAAAACGCGATCCGCCAGTCGACTAACAGCCGGGCTCCTACTTACTGCGAGGTGAACAGAGAGGTGTGGAGTAGGGAAATGTTCTGCCCTGCCCGGGAATCGAACCCAGGTCCTCTCGCTTGTGAGGCGAGTGCTCTAACCACTTAACTTTGTGCAATTGTGTGTGTGTGTGTGTGTGTAACTGTGTGTTACTCTATGTAAGTGTACGTATTAACTGTATAACTGTGTGAAAGTGTGTGTAAATGGGAGTAACTGTATGTAACTGTGTGTAACCGTGTTAATGTGTATAACTCTATGACAGTGTATTAACTGTTTAAGTTTATTTAACTGTATGTAACTGTAGGTAAATGTGTGTAACTCTGTGTGAATACTTTAGCCTTCCCCCAAGCCCGCAGACAGGCTGGTCAACAAGGGCCAACAGCTGGTGTGTGTATGGCTACAAGACACTCTCCTCCATTGCTGTGTCTAACACTGGCATTAGCCTCGTCACTCTCCCCTGTCACTGTCACTAACACTGGGATCAGCCTCGTCACTCTCCCCTGTCACTGTCACTAACACTGGGATCAGCCTCGTCACTCTCCCCTGTCACTGTCACTAACACTGGGATCAGCCTCGTCACTCTCCTCTGTCACTGTCACTAACACTGGGATCAGCCTCGTCACTCTCCTCTGTCACTGTCACTAACACTGGGATCAGCCTCGTCACTCTCCTCTGTCACTGTCACTAACACTGGGATCAGCCTCGTCACTCTCCCGTCACTGTCACTAACACTGGGATCAGCCTCGTCACTCTCCCGTCACTGTCACTAACACTGGGATTAGCCTCGTCACTCTCCCCTGACACTGTCACTAACACTGGGATTAGCCTCGACACTCTCCCCTGTCACTGTCACTAACACTGGGATCAGCCTCGTCACTCTCCCGTCACTGTCACTAACACTGGGATCAGCCTCGTCACTCTCCTCTGTCACTGTCACTAACACTGGGATCAGCCTCGTCACTCTCCCCTGTCACTGTCACTAACACTGGCATTAGCCTCGTCACTCTCCTCTGTCACTGTCACTAACACTGGGATTAGCCTCGACACTCTCCACTGTCACTAACACTGGGATCAGCCTCGTCACTCTCCTCTGTCACTGTCACTAACACTGGGATCAGCCTCGTCACTCTCCCTGTCACTGTCACTAACACTGGGATCAGCCTCGTCACTCTCCCGTCACTGTCACTAACACTGGGATCAGCCTCGTCACTCTCCCGTCACTGTCACTAACACTGGGATTAGCCTCGACACTCTCCCCTGTCACTGTCACTAACACTGGGATCAGCCTCGTCACTCTCCCCTGTCACTGTCACTAACACTGGGATTAGCCTCGTCACTCTCCCCTGTCACTGTCACTAACACTGGGATCAGCCTCGTCACTCTCCCTGTCACTGTCACTAACACTGGGATCAGCCTCGTCACTCTCCCTGTCACTGTCACTAACACTGGGATCAGCCTCGTCACTCTCCCCTGTCACTGTCACTAACACTGGGATCAGCCTCGTCACTCTCCTCTGTCGCTGGGATCAGCCTCGTCACTCTCCCCTGTCACTGTCACTAACACTGGGATCAGCCTCGTCACTCTCCCGTCACTGTCACTAACACTGGGATCAGCCTCGTCACTCTCCCCTGTCACTGTCACTAACACTGGGATTAGCCTCGACACTCTCCCGTCACTGTCACTAACACTGGGATTAGCCTCGTCACTCTCCCGTCACTGTCACTAACACTGGGATCAGCCTCGTCACTCTCCCGTCACTGTCACTAACACTGGGATCAGCCTCGTCACTCTCCTCTGTCACTGTCACTAACACTGGGATCAGCCTCGTCACTCTCCTCTGTCGCTGGGGTCAGCCTCGTCGCTGTGTTGTTTAATCAAGGAACAGCCAGAATGAAACTCACCACTCTGTAAGGACCGTCACTAAAGTCCCGCCAGAATAGAAGCAGCCTAATCTGTTCAGCTAAAGAATGGAGCTGCGAAACCTCTTGTATTCGATTCTTAACAACTAATTTATCGCTGAGAAACTGATTGTGGATAATAGGTTGATTGAGGATAATCATGCTCACCGAGTCACAGTGCAAATATTTCCACAACAAAAAGCAAAATGTTTAACTAAGAATCTCTTGTCTCTAGATCCTCCGAGCAGTCGGGAATGCAACCCTACTTGAAGGGCACTATATGAATGCAAGTTGTTGTTGTCCTTGTATTTGTAGACAAACAAAGCAGCCAATTTGGGACAACAGTGTCCCACAAACAGCTGCGCAGTGAAAGACCAATGTTTTCTCTCTCTGGGGACGTCCCTCGTGATGAAACTGCAATCCTTGGGAATACGTGGGCAAATCTTGGATTTTATACGGAACGTGCATTCCGGCTCCAAGATCCGTGTAAAGTGTTGACGGTGGCCTCATTGAGCCCATCCCTCTAGAAAGGGGCGTACGGCAAGGCTGCTTGTTGTCACCCACCGTATTCAATGTGTTCATCAATGACATGTTGGATGGCATCAAGGGGGAGGACTTGGTATATCTGTTCCAGGCCTCCAAGACAGGTTTGTGGGGCTGCTGTTTGCGGATGATATTGTGCTGCTGGCTGACTCACCTGGGGAGCTTCTACGCTGCACCCGCCATCTTGGTAGGTGCCGCCAAGTGCGGAATCAAGGTTCGGCACGGTCCAGAGAAGATATTGAGGGTATTGGTTGGAAGATACAAGGGGCATCAGTCCCATTTGTTGATTCTTAACAGAATCTGAGGGTTGTGGTGGACACAAACTTTTGCTTGGCACTGTCCTGAAGGACCACACAGAGAAGAGGTGAAGTCCACTCTGGTCATGCTCATCTCTCTTCGAGGACAACAAGGTCCCACTGCAGATCAAGCTTGTGGCATACAAGACCGTATACAAATAATTCTCCTTTATGGTTCTGAGCTCCTGGGGATGGGGAGAGACTTCCTCTTCTGCTAGGGAGGCCTTGCCTTACCCCCTTACAAGAAGGATGGATTCAGTCAGGCCACTGTCAACCATTACATGGATCTCAGAGCTGGAATATACATTCCGAGTAAAATCCAAGATTTGGTTATGTTTTCCCTTTCATCACGAGGGCTTTCCCAGAGTCTTTCACTGCACAGCTGGACCTGTTTCCTTCCACAGATTTCGCCCACAAATATACAGTCAATTCACCTTACAGTATATTATGTGAAGAGCTTTGAGATGTCGAGAAGATGTGAAAATCATTATATCAAATGCAAGGATTATTATTACTATAATATACCATAAGATTATATTTGTGATGCTTACTGTTTTTAAGGTTTTTAATTGGTCTTTATATACTTTTTAGAATGCAACCAAACACTTATAATATTTGTAGCATAGCATTACTAAATAATTATTTGGGAGATAGATAATTATTTGGGGAGGACAAGTTTGCATGGCTATGGGGAGAGAACAGAGGAGTGGGATTGATTTGGATATCTCTTTTAAAAGAGCCGGCATAGACACGATGGGCCGAATGGTCTCCTTCTGTGCTGTATTATTCTATGAATCTATGATTCCTTAGTTACTAGATCAGTTCTTTTCTCAGAAAATAGCATGCTCAAGATTGCTAGCAGCTTGCGAGGGGTAGTGGCTGGCTATCTCTGTGACAAGGGGAGGTGAGTTACAAAAACATAGAAGAAAGATGTAACTTTGGCATGGTTGGAATTATCGTAAGCGGATCATTTGTGAACAGCTGGTGGTCAGTGACTTCCCCAATGGAATCGGGTAATATCGGTTTTGTTGAATCTTACTGCTTTAATGTAACTTAACAACTTAACAAGTTGTCTGTGTTAAAGCATTAACCTTTGAATTGTATATTCTGTGAAACGCTTTTGAGATGTCTCGAAGACGTGATAAGGTGATATGTCAAAGACGAGGATTGTTAATATTATGCTTGGTTCTTCCGTCCATGGAATCAGTGCACATTCCATTCCAAAAAGTATCTCTGGAATTTACGTGTGCAGGTGGGATGCATGGAACTCAGTTTGGTGTGGATACCCTTAAGCACGGTGTTGGGTTTCCGCATCCAGCTGCCCCCTAAAAAATAAAAACATAAGAATATAAGAATTTGCTCAGCGAAGGAAGACCAAGGTCCATCTAGTTCACCTTCCACCATTGTTGCAGTTGCTTGACATGTTGTGCCCCAATTATAGACTGTATCCC